CTGCATTGTGATGATCTATACAATCGAAACCTTTTAATCCTTTGACTGAATTTTATTCTTACTTGTCTTGCTGTTGTAATTAAAGAGATTAACTCCATAAATTGAAGATCTAACTATTTAAAATGTGTACTGTCTAAAAATAAAGTATGCTAATAAAATGTCATTTCTTAGAACGGGAAAGGAATTTATATTGATTCCTTCATAGACTTCAACTATTTCTAGCCTATATGTGAATGTAACCATTTTGTTATATTTGTCCTCAGGAAGATGAGATAAAATCTTGGAAGAAACTGGTTAATGTTGCTGTTTCAGGTGCCGCTGGGATGATTTCTAATCATCTTCTTTTCAAAGTACGAATTGTTTCGTGTTATTTTACTTTTTGAAGCTAGAGCACCTGCATATCAGTTGCCTTTTCACTTGAAGTTCTACTTATAAGGATCTAAAGTTATATATATATATTGGTGTCAATATCACTAGTTGTTGTAAAAAATTCAATAAGTTTCTCTAAGTATTTACCAGCTGTATTTGGACTAAAATTTTGTCTATTGTGACGTCGGAAAACTCATCGTAGGATCCAACTAAACGATGCCAGTTAGGATCTCTTTTTTTTTTTTTTAATTAACAATAACCTTTTATCAATAAACAAGTTCTCTAAGAGCCAAATACAATGATGGGTGAAATAAATTTGAGCTTAGGAGTTGAAAGCAGAATGGTATAATGCTAAAGCATATATCATATCAACTTTAAAAGTGAAGCTACAGCTTTGTAATTTGAGGCTGTTCTGGAGCATCCAAAGTTTTTAACTTGTAACTTCTAATGGAGAGCAAGTTATCTCTTCTTTAGCAGCTTTAGAAGTTTTCTCGAGTAATATGACTTATTCTGTTGCACCAGCTTGCATCTGGTGAGGTTTTTGGCCCTGATCAACCTATTGCATTAAAACTATTGGGGTCTGAACGGTCGTTGCAAGCTCTTGAAGGTATGGATTTGAATTTTTTGTGAAGTTAGTGATGTCCCATCCAAATATCCATTATACTAGCTATTAAGCAGACCACCTGTCCAATGCAGTATTTTGGAAAGTTAGACACTTCTTCTTTTTGAACCTAATAGTTCTTTGATGCATCTCTACCCAATTAATTTCTAATATTATAACCACGCAGGAGTTGCTATGGAACTTGAAGACTCTTTATATCCTCTATTAAGAGAAGTCAGTATAGGAATAGATCCTTATGAAGTGTTCCAAGATGCTGAATGGGCACTTCTGATTGGGGCAAAGCCTCGGGGCCCTGGAATGGAACGGGCGGACTTGCTGGACATAAATGGTCAGATTTTTGCTGAGCAGGTAACACTAATATCTAGCATATGCTATTGGTTTTAGTTTACAGAGAACAAGATTATTGTTGATAAGGTTTCTATGTCTCCTTTATTTGGACATTAACAGGGAAAAGCTCTCAATGCTGTTGCATCGCGTAACGTCAAAGTGGTAGTAGTGGGAAACCCTTGTAATACCAAGTAATTCAGTACAACTCTCATGCTTTATACCAAGTCTGCAATATTAATACATTTGATTGCTAATCTGCTTTCTTTCCTTTGAAGTGCTTTGATCTGTATGAAAAATGCCCCAGACATTCCAGCAAAAAATTTTCATGCCTTGACTAGATTGGATGAAAACAGAGCAAAATGCCAGGTGTGACAAGCCCATCAATGAAGCCTATCTTTACATTTAAGTCCATCATGATCTAAAGCATAATCAATCTTCTGTCATTTCTGCAGCTTGCTCTAAAGGCAGGAGTATTCTATGACAAAGTCTCAAATGTAACCATCTGGGGCAACCACTCAACGACTCAGGTTGTTTAGTGGAGCTTTATGATAGGATTCTACGAGCTAATTATATTGGTTTCGATCTTAAAAGTCATCTTTGTTGGATTTCATCAGGTTCCTGACTTTTTAAATGCTAGAATTAATGGTCTACCAGTCAAAGAGGTCATAAAAGACATCAAGTGGTTAGAGCAGGAGTTCACTGAGAAGGTTCAAAAGGTACAAGAATTTAGAGATAACCATTGCACTGCACTTTCAATTAACTGTTGAGCATTATAACTGATTGCTCATATCATGCATTTTCAGAGAGGTGGTGTCCTTATTCAGAAGTGGGGGAGATCTTCAGCTGCATCAACTGCTGTGTCAGTAGTTGATGCTATCAAATCTCTCATAACCCCTACTCCTGAGGGTGATTGGTTCTCTTCTGGAGTAATTCCTTGACACTTGATTGCTTCAAAACAATTACTTCATTCTTTCTATATGCTTGCCTTGATATGATGTCATTACAACCCGCCTCCCCCTTTTTTCTTTTATGGGAGGTGGGCATGGGGGAGATGGTGGAAATAGGCAATCGTCCATGGAGCCTAAAGCTTTATCTTTAGCAGTGCCTAACAGACGTTGCAGTTTTTAAATGAGACTCATCATGCCAATTCAAACTGATATATTTTTAATACATTTTTTTAATACATTGAAAATGAGCTTGTACGGCAGTTCTCTATGTCGTGTATCACCCAAATGATGTCTAAAACTTCATTGCTTCTGTGTACAATAACAACTGAACAGAATCTTTACTGTAGTTAGAATCTCATGTCAAATACGTACTTTGCTCGTGTTACAGTATTCCTTGTATCATTATGTTTATGGGGTTTGATCATTAGCTAAAATGCCAATCTAGGTGTATACCAATGGAAACCCTTATGGTGTAGCGGAGAATATTGTCTTCAGCATGCCATGTAGATCAAATGTAAGTGATTCACCGTTGATTTCTGTAGAAGCATATTCTGTGCTAAGATTCTCAAGCCGTGCTGCTGGGCTATTTCCAATTTTCAGGGTGATGGTGATTATGAACTTGTGAAGGATGTGAATTTTGATGATTTTCTTCATAGCCGAATTAAGAAGGTACACCATTTTCCTTTTACCAGATTAATTGAAATAAATACTACAGTAATAAAAAAAAGCATTGGAATCAGTTAAAGAAGAGAGAATTTTCCTGTTGAAAGATGCAAAAGATGGAGTCACTTCTGTCAAGCTGCAGCAATCAGAACCTGCACTTAATAGAGCAGCACAGTATAATCCCTGCTTTATGGTGTTTCTTCTTTAAACTTTAGGTACTGACATGTTAGTACTCCTCTTTATGTAGAGTGAAGCTGAGGTGCTTGCAGAGAAGAGATGTGTGGCGCATCTTACAGGAGAGGTTAGTATCTATCTCATTAGCATTCTACCCTGTTCTATCTATTTGTAATTGTAACGAGTACTTGAGCATCATCGTTTCCTGTCGTTAGGGTATTGCTGTATGTGATTTACCCGGAGATACAATGCTTCCTGGAGAAATGTGAGATACCGAGCATAGAGCATTCCCAAGGATCTTTCAGGTCGTAGCATGAAGACTTCCAAATTGAATCGATACGACCTTTGGTCTTCCATTGTTGTAATTTACCTAGAACAAGTCACGATGAAAATGAAAACGGAGTAGATAGATAAGGTAAAGTTTCTGAACCTGAGCGTAACTTGATTATTATGTGATAGAAAATGGTGCTTGTGCGAAATATGTTCTTGTAGTCCGATGCCAACCATTCTTTGCAGTCTCTTATGATATGATACTTTTTCAAAAAATATGATACCAGCATTAAGCTAGTCTTTGTTTAAATGGGGTGCTAATCTGCTGAATACACTTCTATCATCCCACCCACACCAATATGCGATGTCATTAAAGATTTTTGGCTGCTGAAATAGTGTTTTCTTTAGCGTGAACGGGAAAACCTCTTAATAGTGTACAAACAGTCCACAGAAGAAACAGATGCGTGAATTTGGTTCTTCCGACTAAAAGATGCAACAGATGGGTGCTTAAAGCCTTAAACTGAACAGATGGATGAGGAAACAAAATTTTCGGGTGTTTTCTGATCGTTTCAGTTAATTATTTGCTTCTACCTTAAATTTCTGAAGGCAAACCCATTGTCCTATTGCCAAGACTCGAGAGTCAGCAGTGAGTTTATTAACGCTCAATCCAGATCTAGATGCTTATGAGTTTTGATATCCAATAGGTATCTTTGGTTGGGTGCGTCTAAATGTATAATTAAAAATTAAATTAAACAAATAATGAAAACATATGAAGTTCAAAAATAGCAAGAAATAGGCGCAGAAGGCTTGCCTAATGCGTCTTACCCCTTCATGTGGTTGACCGGCTATTGCACGGGACAGAATTTATCCAGTGCGCACTCTCCGGGTAACAATTATAGAAACACAATCAAAATCAAGAAATGCAGTCCAATAACAATTATAGATAACACGATCAAAATCTAATAATGTTTACGCACAAAAAAAATTATGAAATAAAAGCATGAAATGTGATCAAATAACTCTAGTTGATTGAAAATTGTTTATCGATAGCCAACATCGAAGTTTGTATGCACTTCAAATTTCTCAACTTTCTTCAAGTTTAGGTAGCGTTTAAGTTTGGGTCTATATTTGAGCATTAATTAATTAATTCTACAAAATCAAACCCTATTCAAACTCATAATTCTTTTAAAAGGTGTTAATCTGATAGCGTTTAAATTTAAAAAATTAAATCCAAGCTCAAGAAAACAAATATAATGGACCTGTATTAAGTCTAAATAATACCCGGGATGCTTCCTAACAATTAGCAGCTTCTTAAATCTCACGCTTTAACTAACGATGATGATATTGGAGCTGGGTTGCCATACTCATGCTTTATTGGAGCGGGGTTGCTACATTCAACGGGACATCATCAACAACTTTCACGCCTAGAAGACGATAAAAAGGTGTGTGGTTTATTGACTCATTCTCCAAACCCCCAACACCAGACGACGATTGTGTGCAAGACAAATAAAGACAGAGCGTACTATGAATTGATCCATAAAGAGATTAGAAAATTGTTATCAAACAGCTTAATGGTACAAAAATCAAAGAACTTGTTAGTTCCAAGTGTTTATCAAACACGTACTACGTCAAAAACTCCAAAGCCAATTTGAGGCAAAATATAATATAGTCAAATAAAAGATGTGCTCTACATTGACATGAATCACAAACTACAAAATGTTTTCTGACCATAGAGCTTCTAAGCAAGAAGCTTCGAGTCTCATAATCCAAAGCGAAAAACCTTCATAAACTCCTCTACATTTAAATATAATCTAATTTTCCATCCTAGTAATCTTCTTGTGGAAAATCTTAAACCATATGACTCTGCAGTAGAGTCCAGCAATTAACTTCCACCTGAAGTACAAAAGAATTCCTTATTCCAGATGCCACATCTTTTGCACATGTTTCGCAGCATTACCTGGCGCAAATGCAGGTCCCAATTTTGAAGCCCACAGACAGAACAAGGACCCAAAAGAATATAAAGCAGAACCAACCCCTGGACATCCCAGAGGCAGCAGCCTTCCCTGGACGTATGCTAACAACCGATTCCAAGGTAGTAGAGTTATCATCGCCCCTTGATAGGCCGAAAGAAAGGACAACATTGTACCTCCCGTGCTTTCCAAACAGCCAGTCCATTCCATGGCTGCCCGGACCAATATTCCCTATTTGAATCATACCAGCAGTAATGTGAGCCGTACTGGAAGATGAGGGATGCAGAAGAAGAGTCGCATCCTCTGAAGGGAATTCTGAAGCAAATGCAGGAGGAGCGGGAATGCTGCCCAACATACGACTTGCCTGCTTGATGAATGGATATTGAAAATCTGTAAAAAAACAGAAGGCAGCTAGAGATTAGGCGGCAGGTAAAAAATGTGCTGGTAGACTATAAACACAAAAAAAAAAAAAATCGAAAGCAGCTGCTAGCTCGAACTAATTCAGCATTTATAAAAACTGTCCTACATTCTTTAGTTGGCTCTTCCTTTGAAGAAGATGCAACATCACCATGGCCTAAAAGCTTTTCGCTTGACTCTTCAGCAGATTGAGCTTTTTCTTCCGATTCCTGGCAAAGACAACACTGTCCAAGTCAAGGCCAAATATCAATAAGTCAATGCAGTAGTCAGTGAAGTATAAATTCCTAGAATCCTAGTGTTACCTTTGGAAGAATGGATGCTTGTCCAGAAACAAGGGTCTCATTAATCCCCATCATCTCTGGAAGATCATGATTCATATATGGTGGGATTTCACCATCGGCATCATAGAAATTGAGATACTCTTCCAGCATGCCAAAAGCAGAAGTATCAGCAGCAATCGGATTTGACAAGTCATTAGTTTCAAGGAATGCTCCATCATCAAATTGAAGATTATCCAGAGCATCCATATAAGGTTCATCAAGCAAATAATTTACATTTTCAGCATCCAGTGCATTGCTTGGTTCGCCAATGTATTCACGCTTGACTGCTTTTTGATGCAAGTCATAGTGAACAGGCAAATTATATGAGTTCTGGTCATCAGACTGCTCTGGCACACAATTGTATTCACCAGCACCAACCAGGTGGTTCTGAGAATCATTGTTAGAACCTGTAGTTTCCTCACCGCCACTTACATTCTCCCCAGAATAGAATTCCAAAGGAAGGTTGCTAACCAATAACTTCTGAGGATCATTGCTTGAATCCGTATTTTCCTCGACAGAAGCGACATTCTCACCAGCAACAATATTCAACATGTGATCATTATCAGGCGAAATTTCAGTTCCAAGAATCTGAGTTAAAAAAGATTAAAAAAAAAAAAAAATTCCACGCCTGTCAGAGGAAGTACACTTGATTAAACAAATAAAAGCTCATCTCTCTCTCTCTCTCTCTCTCTCTCTGACCTCCCTCCCTCCGAGAGATTTCAGACTTCTGCAGCACTAACACCGCCAATCAAATTGAAAACATTTACAAACAAGAAAACGAATATCCAAACATTCTGGTATATCCTTTTTATAAGATCAGTAATCATAGCATCACATGTAATTCAATGGATAATAACACAAGTTTCAATCTTTTGGATGACAAACCCCCCCCCCCCCCAAAAAAAAAAGGAAGAGACACAGCAAAAAAGAGCAGCTCCCACAATCATTTTCTTTAGTATAACCATCCACAAACCTTAATCTCAATGAATGTCTAAAACTAGGTAAATATCAAAATGAGAAGTGCATGCAAGAAATTTTAGTAGACACCCTATCCTAAACTGACCTGCCTCACCAAATGGAACACTTTTAACAAAACATTAGGACCTAAGAGGTAAGGATATTAAATCCACAAACCAAACATTTCCCACTAGGAAGCGCAGAGGCAACATTAAAACGAAGAGAAGATAAACGAAACCTGCATCTAAAAAAGAAACAAGCCAATGGTGCACTATCTATATACTATGCCAAATCAGATTTGTTGTTCTCCAGAAATCATTTCACTAATCACCAAGGTGGAACATGTCCATCAAGCTTCTATAATGGAGTACCTGTTTTGCTACATATCAGGTCTAAATACTACAAAGATCAAAACATATACATTCTACAGTCCAAAAGCTGGTGGGCTAATTTCATTTGTAATTGCAAGTTTAGTTTCCTAAAATATCAGCACACTTTCCGAGATGAGAATCAAGCCACTCTAGAAACACGTGCCTTTTTAATCAGTAGTCTATACAACTGAGCACACCATGCAACAAGATGCTTAAAGTTAAATAGTTCACTTATTTGTAGGTGCTACACCCTTTCATGAACATCAATGATTCATGCTGTAAGCATACTCATTACAGCTGCAGTTAATATACCTTACTTTTGTTGCTTCAGTCAAATATTTACAGTAAAAATGCCATCTAAACAAAATTTCTTCTTGAATTCCAAATTATGCCAATTGAACAAAATAAAGAGGTTGTAACTGTCTTTATCTGCTTTCAAGTCCTGTGAATGCTGTCTGAAATAAAAATTTACATGATACATATGAATAGAAGTATTACATGTCTCATGAAATATCAATCGAGTCCTAGAACTTATGTTAGTTTCTGTTAAGCCTTCCAACTTTTAGCTTGAAGCAGTTACTCGCCACTATATATAATTGACACTCACTTAAATCTAAAGCACCCAACAACATGTATGGAACCAAGAGGTCCAGGGTTTTAAAACTACTATTGATATGTTTGGCATGGACTTCTAGGTAGGAAGGCGTATTTTTTTAACACGAGAAAACATGAAAGAGCAATCTAGTTCATTTCCTTTCATACAAGTATAGTTTGTTATATGCTAAACAGACAACAGTATTAAATACACCAGCTGTTCCTCTAAATCCTTAAACCTGTTACTTGCAGAAGTAGAACCCATTCACTATCAGCCAAAACTGTTAACCATCATGCAGCCTATTACGAGGTTTCCAGCAAAGCTTATAAAAGTGATGGAAAAAATAGAGAGAGAAGGTAATTAGAAAGAAGTGAACTCAAAAAAGAGAGAGAACAGACCTGATCAAGGTCAATTCCATCCCAATAAGAATCATCACCAACTTCCACCTCTTCTGCAGCCTCCTCCTTGGGAACCATTTCCAATTCATCTTCTTCCCATTCCTCCTCAACAAAGGGCGCACCATATTGTTCTCCATTCTTTGGCCCAGAGCCACTTTTCTGAAAAACTCTACACAAAACAAATGCATCCTTCTCCACCAAAAAGGAGAGGGCAAACAGAAAATGAAATAAAGAAAATAAATCAGCAATACTCAGCAATTCAACTCTGGGACAACTAGCACAATAAGACAACAAGATGTGCAGGTTTTTGACACTGCAAACTTACAAAGACGCCAAATTATCCAAGAGTAGACTGGTTAGAATTGAGATTGTAGTTGAAGAAGGGGCAAGGATTCTTTGCACCCTCATCCTCCCCCCCTTTTTTTTCCAACCAAAATAAGCTTCAAGAACTCAAAAGCAAACAAGTGGAAATGATACATATAACAACCCCCACCTGGACAATTCCAGCCTTCTCCAACTCTTCATCAATAAGTCTGTACTCGTGCATGACCCAGTTAGTCCTCTGACCCTTAGGGGCACGACCACTGTGATACACCAAGGTCTTCTTCATCCCCACAACCTGCGACTTGTGGCGGACAGGCCTGTCCTTGCCAGTTGTCTTCCAGTAACCTTCTTCTGTCGCTCGATTAGTTCGTGATCCATTGCCATATTTCTTATCAAGTACACTAAAAAAATACCACTCCAAATCTCTGGTCTTCAGCCTTGATTTACCTAAAAAACCACAATATGGAAACAATTGAATAACTCGCAAATCAACAAAGTCATGAGAAGTAAGAAATTGTGAAGGCAATATATCCACAATGCACCAATGACTTGAGACAATGCCACACATGCCAAAAAGAAATCATCCATTGAATGTTAGTTGTAAGAGGTCAGATTAACAAGGACGAAAAATAATACAATGAAAGAAAGAAACATCTAGCAAGTCAAATAGAGTTCAGATAAGAAATCCTCAACAGACGATATAATAAAAATACTTGTCAAGTCAAAATTGCTAGCAAGCCTAAGGCCTCATTCGCAACTGATTTTCAAAACCTGAGTTTAGATTCTAATTTTGGGAAAAGCTATATTGTTGTGTTCTAAGCTGCTTTTCATACTCTTAATTTAAATAATTGGGATTTTAAAAAAAAAGCTGAAAATCAGAAACATCAATTTTGGTGCTTTTTAATTCTGATTTTCTAAAATCAGCTTTTACACAATCAGAAGCACTTGAGAAAGAACGAGGTCTAAATGTTTTAACAGATAAAGTACTATAACTAGACTGCAAAGACGTAAGGAAAATAACTAGCTTTACCTGCCTCCTAGTCAAATATGTCCCACCTGATTTAGCTTACCATGCATTCTGAAACATCCTCAGATCAAATTCAAAACTCCCCTCATCCACTCAAATCAACATAACTAATCCTCAAATTCATCCCAGTTAACTCAATCCCCTAATCCCACCCATCTAGTTAATCCAGCATAAATAAAACCCAAATCCAAACAGGTAGAAAAAGCAGAAGGAAACCACACAAGCCCTGGACATGACTAAAGGTATGTGGATTTAAACCTGCAAGAAAGTGTCAAGCTATATTGTATTAGTTTTATTTCTAAGGCTTCATTAGAAAAAAAATCCCAAATCCGGAAAGAAACGTAATTTACCAAGAACGCTTTTTACATAATACAGAAAATTAGACAATAAACCCAAAGATCCCAGCTCTCAACTAACCGCAAAATTCAGCACCGAGCAATAACAAATCTGTAGGTAAAAAAGAATTAAGCGCAATCCCGGCTAAAACAATCGATGAAACATAAACCCCAACCCAGAAAAGAGACACAACTCGTGAACACAAAACCAGAAAATAGAAAAAATATATATATATTACCTGGAAGTTCCCAAGGCTCAGCCTTGTAAATATCGATCTCTGAGATTGCATCAAGCCGGAAAGGCTTCCCACAAAGCTTTCGCCTTAAATAGTATCGGACCAATTCCTCGTCCGTCGGGTGAAATCTGAAACCCGGCGCTAGAGACGTCGACGTTTTCGAAAACATTAGAGAGACCGATAGAATTTTCCTTAGAGAGAAAGGTAGTACTAGTGAAAATGAAGAAGAAAGAGGAAAGAACTCACTCTTATTAAATTTTGTTTAGTGGGTTTTCTTTACTTTTTTTGCTTTTTCACTTTTTCTTTTCTTTTTTCATTTCTTTTTTTTTTTTGGTGGATTGGTGGAATTTAAGAAAGGAGAGCGCTGCCAGTGGTTAAATGAAGTCCAACACCGTAAGAGTAGTGTTTAGCTAGGGAAGATGAATGTTGACTGAAGTCGAAAAATATCAGGATTAGTTGTAATTCAAACCCCTAAACTGTTCACAATTATCAATTGGCCCCAATTTACGATAGAATTTAGCTATCTTTTGGAATTGAAAAGGACAATAAACTCCATAATAAAACAAATTTGACAAGCATAATAGATGCTCTATACTCAATAATTATAAATTATATTCACAAGAAAAATTTATTTTTTCATAAAATTTCTATTCTCGACAAGAAGATGAAGCTTCTTTTTGACTTTTTGCCCATGAAAGAGTCGTTAAATTCGATCTACAGATCCGATGTATTGCACTACTTTGCGAATGTAAAGTGAAACTTTTGAGTTATCATGGTGCTGCTATTAAATAGTTGAGGAGTAAAGTCACGAAAGGGAATAGTCTAAGGGCGTAAAGTGCAATTAACCCTGACGGAGAGGAGGTGTTTCTTGTTTGAGTTACGGGTGGGTGATGTTACTTTGGTCACAGTTGTATACGTGGAGATAAGAGAAAGCCGGTTCCAGAATGTACCAGAGCGTTCGGATTGAAAGTCGCTCGAGTGGGTCGTCGCCAGGCGCGAGCACAATCTGAATACATGATAACGTGGTTCTACTCCTTTCCATCTAGGATTCTACCAAGAAAGTACAATGCAGTTCGTTTAATTAAAAAACCTTTTTTTTTTTTACATTATTTAAATTATGTTCGAATTGAGTTTATGTTATTGTGATTACTATGCAAGTTGTATTCAAGAGAAAATTTCACTCATCTAAACTGGAAATACTGATTAAAGAATAAAATTTCAACAACCGAATTGACTTAATTATAAAGAGGAAGCAGTTTTTTTCTATTATCCAATTCAATGCTCGAATACTACATGTAACAGTTGAAAGAAGAAAAAATGTCGAAAGGGATGAAAGAATTTTAAAAAATTCCAACACGACACTTGTGGGATTGAGTGTAGAGTTGTATTCTGTACAAAATCTAATTATGTACTTAGTTAAACATTTTAGCTTAAATATTTTATTGATAGGGTGAAGAATTATTCTAATCAGTGGGTTTTAAGGTGGGAAACATAAAAAGATAATTTCAAAATTTATACAGAGTTGTATGTAAATTATCATGTATTCCATTAGTTCCAAGTAACTCGTGTAAACTTGGATTGTAAGTAAAATTAAATTTTGATTATGATTGGATATTAAATTTTTTTAAATAATATTTTATTTATATTATAAATTTATTTTTTTATATTTTCATTCATCTTTCTATCACATCATAAAAATATTATAATAATTATTTTAAATAATACTCCGTTCAAATAAATTCATAGCCACGGATCCTCTTCCGTTGCTTTTTGCACACATAGGCGTCGGTGTGTGCGCATGCGCCTGCTTCAGGATTAAGGATATGACGTAAGACGGTAAGAGGAGCGAGTGTTGTGCGTCAGTCCTTGACATTGACTATTCACAAACGCCCACGACGGATCATGGGCTCGAGTTGTTATTAGATTTTAATTCCGCGGTATAATATAAACGCTTGGCTTGTTTAACGATGCTCATAGTCCATTCGTTAATATATATTTTATGTGTTATATTTTTTAAAATATAAATTTAATAAAAAAATAAATATAAAAGAGAGTAAGCGAAATTAAATAAAAATATATATAAATGTAAGAGAAAATAATAATTATTAGTTTGTGTATATATATATATGTATGATAAGTTTGATGAATATTAGGTGTACTAACACGTGCTTTAAAAACACCCACAGAAAAAACTCTAATATAAATACTCTATTACAACACCTATAAATATTAACACAATAAATGTAAATATTAAATATATTAAAATATAAAAACGTAATAAACTTTTTGATACAGTCTTATATTTAATTTTTTCTATCCAATTTCACGCTCTACGACGATCGTCAATTGCACCTTACAATCACTTGTATTGCAGAGGACCTCAATCCGGCAAGAATTGGGAGTATTGCATCAGTATCGTTTTCTTAAGATCCTATTTTTAGCATTAGTTACTTTCCCCCCACTATTTTTCTCTTCTTTTTGTTCTTTCCCATGGTACTTCCTCTATTTGTTATGGCTATTGAGAGGCTCTTCTCGAAGTTTAGACATTTACTTCATTTTGGTCGTCTTTCCTAACTTGTACAATTAAATTGAGCTTAGACTTGATTTCATCTTGTTTATTTATGAACTCTAGAAAATCAGACTCTTCCAATAAATGGGCAAAAATTCTATTTTTTTTTTCTTATTGAGAGTATATTCGTAAATATGTGAGAAAAGAAGAGTATAAATGTTTTGGAATATTGATATATATATATATATATATATGTTTCTATATTAACAGTAAACTTTCTTTGATATTTCTGATTATTAAAATTTGATTCATTGTTCAAAAAATCGTGCTCAAATCCTAGCTCAAGATTGACTTTATGGCAGTTGTATGAAGTCAAACCTAAAATTTTAGATTTACTCTAGTCAACCTCGTCCTAACTTTTGGGCTAGGCTTAGCCTAGATGATTTTTTTTCACATATCTGGACTTGACTCGAGTGTACAGGCTGGTGGCCAATAGAGTTTTTTTTTTTTAAAAAAAAGCCCAAAATTCGGCGCATGAATACTTCATGCAATAAGAGTCTGAAAAGCCATTATCCATCTGAGTGTTGCACCACTAAAAGAGAATGCATGGGCTAATGGACCCAAAAATAAATAAATAATCATAAATGAGTTATCCCGTAGGAATTCACTTTAAAATAAGTCGTAGTCATAACTTTAAAATAAGTCGTAGTCATAACGAGTAAATCTTATAAATACTTATGATTGAATATATGACACATATGTAAAATTTAAGTATTAAATTCGAATTATGTGTCATGTATCTAATGATAAAAGTGTATACCCTGTCAGTGTAATGTCTAGAAGATTAATCCAATTATAATCTAAATTTAAATAAAGCATGATTGAAATTGCAAGATTACTTCAGCATAAGACTCCTTATCCCGAATCATCCAACCTGCGGAATCCAAATCCTCGTGCCAAGCTAGCCCAGAAGAGTATATATCAACATCTGCATTATGCCAGATCTTATCATGAAAAGGATAGATTGATTCTACAATTGCTAATAGTGGTAATTATCTCTACAATAGTAGGTACCAACACAAACTAGATGCTAAAAATAATAAATATGGGCGTTATTAGTTATTACAATAACATGCACAACACAGAAGTTTTTTCACTTAAAATGCTGAGAACCATGATGATCTTTCCCCAACCTATGCTCGTCAAGATTCTAAAGACCTGGATGAATGCACTCAAATTCTGCAACAAAAAGCTTCTGCAAAAGAATGACTAGTCATCAATCATGGTGAAGAATGCCCTTTTTTTTTTTTTTTTTTTGCGTTTTTGGGTTCATAAATTGCATTTTCGCCATCCGCATCAGCCACTTAGCTGGAACGGCCGCTCCTAGCAGTTTAACATGATCCAAGAAAATCCTGCGCAAGCTGTGCTCAGCTAGCTACACTCTTGTATTATCAAGTGTTAATATCTATAAAATGTTAACGTTTATGGAAAAAACAAAATGTTCAGAAGATCATACCATAAACTTGCAACCACATTCTGAAAGAAAAGCCCAAAGCTTGGATCTAAATTCCAATCTGCATCCAGTTGCAACTTCTTTGATGACAGATTTAAGTCCCAATTTTCCACACAGTTAAGGCTACTAAAGTCTGTATCCAGACTTTCTGCAACCAAGAAAGTCCTCCCTGTTTTATTCCCGGAGTAGGTTCAAGGTAAACGTTTTCTTGAACTGCAAAAGATCAAAGCACCTGTAATTCCCACAACTCTAGGACCACCACTTGATGATGTCCCTCCAGGGGCAGACAGATGCCATTTAAAATCTGATGGCATGCTTTCAACTGGAGGGTTCTAACACTCCACAATCCTGAATTTCCTCCAAAAAACGGAGCTGAAAATTGGACTTTTATTTTAAATAAATTATTTAGAAAGGCAGAGTACGATAACTAACTAAGGTACATTTGTTCAGCATACTGAAAGCAACTATAGAAGAAGATTACAGCGGTGCAACAAACTGCTAGGCATCTCAAATGACTCTTCAACTAATCTTCCTTGTTCCGAAGATCAGATGCCACTTGAGAAAATTGCAGCAACACTTCTAGCCGGAAACTACAAAACTACAGGTACTTACTACTTAACCCAAATGCCTAGCCTCCTCGAACAAGTCTCCTCAAGTCTTCATTCTCCTTGTTCAAAAGATCGATGCGTGATTGAAGTATGTTAATCATGGCTTGGGCACGCATCACTTCAATCTTTAGAGTCTCCCTCTCCATGGAGACATTTAGGATCTCATTCTCTAAGTTACTGATGAATTTTAAATATCCAGGCGGCACAGATTTCTCAAGATTTGACGAGTCAAATGTAGCTGTGCTGGCAGGCTGGGTTTCTTTAGGTTCGACGGATTCTAGTAAAGGAAATTCCAAAAGGGCAGATGAAAAATTTGTCGTCATCATCGTTGGAGGAGGATCCTGACTAGTAGTAGTTGAATCTTCCGAACCATTGGCATGGCTGGAGTTAGGGTCATCTTGCTTCGACCTTTTATTCTGTCCTAAAGAAAGAGGCTCTGGATCCTCTGACCTCTCCCTCTTGCAAATAAATGGTATTCCTTGGGGCTCACTTGGATGCTCAATAACGCGAGGTGTCTTATTAATATCCTGCAACAACCAGCAAAAGTTCACACATAAATGGCAATGCGAGGGCAGTATATAATGGGACTCAGAGGTCCATCATATTGTT